ACAGGGCCAACCACTCTCAGCCACAGCACAGAGCAGCTGAGCCCATGGCTTCACTACTAGCTCAAGCAGCAGAATCATTTTAGGAGCCATTTTTCTGCCAGACCACACTCTCCCAAAATCTGTGTCACCACCATCAGCAGGTCAACACATCCCCCATCAGCAGCCCCACATCCCTGCTACTTCCCTTATGCCAGTGCAGACACTCCCACCACGTGCTGGTGGGTGTCGTGGGTGTCCTAACTCCCTCACATCAGGTTTCTGGTCAGCACTGAGCTGGCATATGGGATGGAGCAGGAACAGGAAGGAGGAAAAGGCAAAACCACTCATCTCAGCAGCAACATGTATCCTACCAGCTGAAATGAACCACAAAGCCTGAGGCTGTTCTGTAAGTTAGTTCACAGCACAAAGCCAGCAAAATTATCTCCAGTTCTTTTGAACAACAACAAAAACAAGTGGTAACAAAATCAAATTCAAATTCTTTATGCTTTGTTCTCCAAACGTGAAATTGCTGTACAAAATAAACTGGTTCGTAAAAGCGGATGCCATCTTTAAGATACAATCTGTTTGCTATTTTCTGGAAAGTATCAGAAGGCTTTTATTCAATTAAACGTGTTGGTATTAAACTCATGCTGGTGTTCTCAAGCCTAAGTGAGCTTCAATTTGTTAAAGGAGAAAATGGTGTAGGTTACATGAAAGGGGCAAGGATGAGGAAAAGAGAAGATCTCAGATTTCATTTTATGTATCTCTGACTTGTATGTGCTCAATAGAGTTTTATTTTACACAAGGATAAACTACTCCTTACACCCACAAAACCACAATAAATTAAAATAACAATCCACATAGTAAACACCAGTGTTTTGCAATTTATCTTCAAACTGTAGGACAGGAAAGGTCAGATCACAAACACATCTCATTACAGCTACATAAATACAAAGGGAAGAAAAAAAAAAATCTATGAATTGCAACCAGTTCTGTTGCTTCAGCAAGTCTTGCACAGGTTTTGTTTAAAACCCTGCTGAAGAAAAACACAAATGAGAAGTGCATACGTATTATAGTAAGTTTAATTGTCCTAGAAACAATGGAGCAAGAAAATGGACAGATTGGAAGGTCGTAATCCCCCTCAACTCACTTGCAAATCCAAGAAATAAGGAAGCATTGCCCGATAAGGGTTTCAATGACATGGCTTAGGTAACAATGCACTACTTTAGGGAAACATTTTTTAAATTTTTAACCATCTACTTTGTAAGGAAGTTCTTTTCTAGTAGAGTATGAGTGTGTATATGTGTGTGTATATACATTCCTCTATGTATCTTTCAAATATTGTCTTAGACACACTGTTGTCTACAAAATGTTTCTAAAACAATTCTTGCCTCTCCACTTGCCTATGCAGAAACTTCATATACTTTTAAAAGAGACACTTTCCCCTATTCAGCCAATCTACTGCTCCTAAGATCATGGAAAAAAGAAAGACATTTCAAACTCCTACAGCATTACAGGACCTCTCTAGACTTACACTAAGCTGTTAAGAGGTAACTATAGTAACTGTACATTCGTTGTCAATTAAATGTTTTTCAGTCTTCTCATTTAATCAAGGAGCAAGGCCACTTTATCTGCTTAGCTTCAGAAGAGGGTACAGAAGACAAAAGGATAGGCCAAGTCTAGGAAAGACTTTGTTATTTCGTTGTCAGTAGCTTTCCCAATAACTGCACAGAACCTTCCCAACGCCACCATGACAATGCAACCCAAGCACACTGCTTACATGAGAGCTGTGACTGGCAAGCTATTTAATCCCCGCCAAGCATCAAGTCACAAAGAGGACTCCTGCCTTGCAAGTAGGCATCCCTTGCACCTCAGACATTCACACATCACCAATTGTTTTATATGTATGTATATATACACACACACACTAAATATTTAGTTATAGATACTAAATATGGTTCTACTGTCACAGATGACTGCATTTACTCCTTCCACATAAATGACTTTGTATGTTTCTCTGTATGTGAATAAATGCACAGTATCATTGTCATTATTACAAAAATGGGCTTAGAAATGAAAGTTTAGAGAACTTGGGTTAAGATAGCTGTATATTGCTGGGATATCCCTTCTCCCCTTCAGCCTCCCCTGCCTCCAGTAGAAACAGAGTTTATTTAGATAACTATAGAGAGCATATTCATAATATTGCTTATCTAAGTACTGACCAAACTTTCCTCACAAAAATTAGCGTTTTGTGAAATGCAGGACAGTTCATCAAATCCAGTAGACTTCTAGGCACTCATGACTGAGCAAAAGCTGTAACAGCCAGTGAACTACTTACCAAAGGCAGCCTCTCCTTGTTCAAGTTCTTGTTTCACTCTGGTATAATCGTCTTTAACTCTTTCCAATTTTCGGACATCTCTGGCACTCAGAACTAACAGTTCTTTGAGAAGTTCTTCCAGCCCCTTCTTCTCAGATGTTAATGATCTTATTTCTTCTGTCAGATCCTTCGCAGTACCGAAATTATTTCCTGCATGTTTAGTAGGGGCAGGGAAAAGAGGGAGGAAAGAGACAATGAAGCAGACACTTGCATCATCAATGTGTTACACAGCAAACAAGGGAAATTAAGCAACCATAACCAAAAGACCACTTTTCAAGAAGGAAAAAAAAAAAAACCTGCTTTGCAAGCACCATTTTGTTAACATACTACAAAAAGAACCATAATTATAGCACATTTCACCTTATACATACAGAAATCTTCTTTCATTATTGTTACTGATACGGTTTACATCTTTAGAGAAAAACTTTTCCTAAGGTCCACATTTCAGAAAAATGTCATACTGTAATCATTGATCACTGTGGTGTAATCTATCAGATGATTTTCTTGTTTTGGAGGACACTTCAACTCACAATACTTTTGAAATAGATGCTATCAATCTGCTAGACTCTGAAGTATTTCCTCCTTGAATGAAGCAGCACTACACCACTGTTCATAACAAGCACCAGAAGGCTGTTTGTTTATGACATAGCACATTTCTTAAATGGCATGCACCCTGTGCAAAGACCATCAGGAAATGCTCTTCTGAGAGAACATATTGAAAAGTCAAAACTCCTCACTTCAGGCTCTCCCTGAAGCAGGAAGCCTTCACAGACAGACAGAATATCTCAGTATCACCTGTTCACACTGCTCTGGAGTTTTTAAAAATGTTTGGCTCCTTTGGACAGGGACCCAGAGTCAAAAGTTCAATTCCCAACCAGTTTACAGTGTAGCCTAATAATATTTGCCCACTTAACTTTTGTGAAAAACATTTTTGTAAGAACCTGGAGAAGAACACTTCCTTACTTCACAGAGAAGCCACAAGTATAAAGACACAACAGACAGATGCTCAGCTATTAAATTATTTTAAAATAGCAGTAGATTAGCTATTACAATGCTACATTTATACAACTGAATCTGTGTTTTTCCAATGATTCAACTACTTAGTTGCAAAAAAAAAAAAAAAGAAAACCACAACCAAACACAAAACCCCCACTAAAATATTAAGAATACTGGAACATAATAAACAGTTGCTTATACAAAACAGATCAATTTAAAAGTTAAGTTTAGAAAGTTAAGATAAAATCCAAACCAAAGAATCCACCTGAGAGTATACTAAATTGTGACATTACATTCTTTTTACCCGTTGTCTGAAAAGTGTTGGTCACAAATCTTTAACAGGAATGGTTTGGCCACTGTTCAGTTCCTCCAGGACAGGGAAGCAAGAATGGGATGCAAGTATTTACACTGGTGGGAAGATGGCAAACCACCACCAGCTGCAGAGAGCAGATCCACTCCTCCAGAGCACAGGCGAGACTGGAAGCACTTCCACCAAACAATGACGACCAACCCCCTGAAGGAAAGGTGTTCCTGTAACCCTGAGTGGCCATATGAGGACAGGTGTGCCAAAGGGAAGCTGCACTTTCAAAAATTTTGGAAGAGACTGTATCAAATAAGGCAGGTTTAAAGACTGGCCACTGCTAAGTATGATAGCCTTGTTTGTTAGTTTTTTTTGTTGTTGTTGTTGTTGTTTTTGTTTGTTTGTTTTTTGTTTGTTGTTTGTTTGGGTTTTTTTATGGTGTTTTGGTTTCTTTTTCCTTACGCTATGGCAGCTTCCATCAACCCCTTTCCCTCACTTAAAGATGACCTTTTTTTGATTCTTTTCAAACCTCCTTTTTTAATCCTCAGCTAAAACCCTGTTTGCCAGTTCTATTTTACAAAGAATTATACAATTAAATAACTGTAAATGTTTTACAGATAGTAGAATCCGACTAGTTACCAGTGCATTTATTGGGAAGCAACAGCACAAATTTTATTACCTTAATCTGTCACAGTATCCAAACAGGCAACAGAGCAGCAACGCAAGCAAGACAATCACTGGGGAAAAGGGAAATATTTAGCTGCTTCTGAGGCAACAAAACTTAAAATTTAAACCGTGCACCTTTATTTACCTGAACTGAACCCAAGCAGTAAAGCACAAGAGCCTTAATAAAACATGAAGGCAAGAGATTCTTCATTAGAATCTGAAGCCTGCTCTTACATTTCAGAGGAGAACATGGAAAAGGGTATGATATTACATATGAAATTTTTATACATACTGAATGGATCTTAATTCCCAGTGGGGAAATTTACATCAAAACCGAAGCTATGAGGAAATGGCATCAGATTCATGCCCAAAAGTTAAATGAAATTTCCTAATGCAGCTCCCCAGGACAGCAGAAACATCTAAGAAAGTCTGCAGTCACAATTCAGAAGACAGTATATACAAACTCATGTATCACAAGTACCATCAGTGAGCTCCTGACCTCAATCACAGCAACCAGAATAACTGCTTTCTAAATGCCATAAGAAGTTTCATTTAAAAATTAATACATAATCTCTAGCTGCCAGCATTAAAAAATATGCCTTCCTGGGGTTTTGTTTGTCAAAAGACGAAGTCACATTGGATATTGTAGAAACATTCTGAAGACCTGTGTCAAACTATTTTACTAATACCCTGAAAACGTTAAAATTCCTCTTTTTTGATGACAAAATAATTATTTTTCCTAAGTGAACAAAGTAACAGTTGTTTTGTCAGCCACTCAGAGCTGTTTTATATAGCCATACTACTGGGAGAGTTCTAGCTGGATGACAGTAGATAAATAAAGTCAGTCCTAACTCTTCCCAGGAAACTCAAAAATCAGTGAAGCTAATAGGACTGCTCACTCGGAAAACCTGTACAGAGACAACAAAACTAAGGAATTAATAGTCTAAGACCAAAGCTGAGCTTCTGGTCTAAACCAAGACATGAGGCAGGGATTTTATGAAGGGGACTGAAGGACAAAATGCCACTTTCCACAGCCTTCCTCCTGACTCCTAAGTGACACTTGGTAGCAATGTGACATTTTAGCCACTGCATGTTCACATATACACACGGGGCACAAACTGAGGAGCATCAAATGAGGAAACACACAGATTCAGAAAGCTGTTTATAAACATCCACACTAGAAAGTCTGTAGCCCTGTCAGAATCTTAAATGTAATCCATTTCAACTTGAAAAAAATACATGGATTCAACAGTGCTTGCATAAAATGGGGGGAGGGAAA